CGCACTGTCAGAAGAAGATTGTTCACTGAGGGGTACCGTAGACATGTGGTAAGCAAGAAAATCACCATTTCTCGTGTTAACAGAGAGAAGAGACGCCGATTTTGTCGGACAAAATTGCATTGGGGAAGAAATGAGTGGGATAATGTCATTTTCAGTGATGAGACACAAGTCCAGATTGGGATAGACAGAAAAGTTTATGTGTGGAGAAAGTCGCATGAGCGGTTACGACCCGATTGTTTGGGGGTTCGTACCGATCATGAACGAAATTCGAAGTTTTCAGTGATGTTTTGGGGGTGTGTGTCTGCGTATGGAGTGGGAACTTTAACTGTCGTTGATGGCAACATGAACACTGATAAGTACATTGCCATTCTTGATAACCACTTGTGGCCTGTAGTTGCCAGGCATTTTGTCAACCGGAATTGGATTTTCCAAGAAGACAATGCCCCTTGTCATGTGTCCATTCGGGCTAACCGTTGGAAACAGGAAAATCATATTCCGACTTTGCCGTGGCCCCCACAAAGTCCAGATCTCAATATCATTGAAAATGTATGGAAAACTGTTAAATATCAACTCAAAGCCAGATTAGGTGACATTAACTCCAGACAAGATCTCATCCGTGTGGTGAATGACATTTGGACTGGGCTTAGTCCCGTTTACATTCGTCGTCTATATGACAGTTTACCAAGACGACTCCGAGATGTCCTAAGAGCACAGGGTCATATCTCTAAATTCTGAAAATTTGAGGTGAGTACCTTTATTATTTACATAGATACGCGAATTTTAAAAGGGGACCCGACTCCGCTAGAAATAGCCGTGACGTCACCGGTGCGAACAGACTTTTGGCCACTGACTGTAACAACTGCATGTTTACATCGAATGTATGTTTATAACACATGCATGTTTACAACCACCCGTTTACATCACCTGCATGTTTACAACGAATGTATCTGTTCACAACACCTGCATGTTTACAACCCTGTTTATAACACCTGTATGTTAACATCGAATGTATCAACACCTGCATGTTTACAACTACTCCGTGTACAACACCTGCATGTTTACAACAAACCTGTTTACAACACCTGCATGTTTACATTGATGTATCTGTTCACAACACCTGCATGTTTACATCGAATGTATCAACACCTGCATGTTTACAACAAAACTGTTTACAACACCTGCATGTTTACATCGAATGTATGTGCTTACAACACCTGCATGTTTACAAAACCCCTGTTTATAACACCTGCATGTTTACATCAAATGTATGTTTAGAACACCTGTTTGTTCACATCAAATGTATCTGTTTACAACACCTGCATGTTTACAACCCTATTTATAACACCTGCATGTTTACATCGAATGTATGTTTACAACACCTGCATGTTTACACTGAATGTGTTTACGGCACCTGCATGTTTAAATCGGATGTATCTGTTTACAGCACCTGCATGTTTACAACCCTGTTTACAGCACCTGCATGTTTACATCAAATCTATCTGTTTACAACACCTGCATGTTTACATCAAATGTATCTGTTTACAACACCTGCATGTTTACATTGAACGTGTCTGTTTACAGCACCTGCATGTTTAAATCGGATGTATCTGTTTACAGCACCTGCATGTTTACATCAAATGTATCTGTTTACAACACTGGCATCATTTATATCAGTTTTCACACCTGGCATGTTTGCAGTACACATTCATAACACTAGGATGAAGATAGAATGTGATGGCCATACTAGCACTGGTATTTTACTGATACCACAAGGTACAGAAACAACTCTGGATTGTGTAGATCTGAGTCCCTTATTTTTGTCCGAATTCAAGGAACTTGAGTTTGAATCCCAAACTTGGACTATTCAATTTAATAGTTTAATAGCACACTGCACATGGGTTTCCTTGTCATCTCCCGTTGGCCTCTCCAGCTTCTTATTCTGTATATTACCAAAACTATGCACATTGTAATTTACCGAAACTATCAACATTCAAATGTGGCACCAATTTATAACACTAAGATGAAGATAGATAGAATACCATGGCCATTCAAAATCTGGCACTGCTACTCACAATATTCATACTACAGGGTACAGAAACAACTGTAGACTGTGTTGAGCTTAGTCTCCTATTCTTGTTTGAATCCAAGGAACTCAAGTTCGAACACTACACATGGTTATAAATATTTTCCCAGTCGCCCCAGTTTGGGCTGTCCAGCTTCTTAATCTGTATATAACTGAAACTATAAACTTCAAATGTGTCGCTGATTTCCACCAAGTCCTCAAAGATCTGCCTCGCTGTCTGAGTAGATTATTTGCCACTAATTCTAGCGAATATATTGCTGACTGTGGCATTAAATACCTTCCAGATAGAACTGAGGGAAATTCAATTGAATTATTATCTCTGTGCATCATCAACTCTAGGATATATGAAAATTACTGATTAACGTTAATTAGGCCATAGACAAAAATGACAACAAGTTAAATAGTTTCAATTTCCTAATATTTTATTTGGGGCAGAATAATATCTCATATTGATCAAGAATCTCTCCATCATTTTAACAATTAAGTCAGGGAATTCATGCATAAAAGACTCTTTTATGTTAAATTTTATGTAAAAATGTCCACATAAAAAGGAAGAATGAACACATCATTTTTGATATTTTTCCGAATAAATATATATGTACACACAATTCTCATCTCATTCAGTACACCAGGAATCCAGGAAATTAGAGGACATTACCGAGATAGAATCACTAAATACATATAGCAAATCCCTCACACTTACTCCTTCCCAGGCTGCTGCATATCCATATGAATAACTAAAAGTGTAAGAAATTTATCTGTTCAGTTTTGAAAGAAACTAAAACTGCTCTCCAGACAGCAGGCTCATGAACAAGATATTGGAGGCCAAAACAATGCACGAAGAACTTAAGCTGTTTCATTTTTCTTCAAAGAAAAAACATTTTTAAATTGAGTGATCACGCTTTAACGTTTCTCCAGCATGGCCACAAACCCTGGTTTGTAAAGTCTTGAAAATCGACAGAGAAAGACTTTCGGTAACATATTCACAAGCTAGACACTGGTTTGAATTGCCCTGATTATCAAAAAGCATTATATTGGAAATGTAGAATTGGCAAAGTGAAAGAAGAATGAATAAATGATGGTGGTGATGGTGGTGATGATGATGATCTTTTACGAACCATATGATATGGTTGCGTCATATCGTATGCTGTGAATAGTTTAGTCAATGCTATATTTAGAAATATTGTACATCCTGAGAGGTGGAAAAGGAGACATGAATGGGTACTTCCAATTTCAGCTCTCAGAAATGCAGATTCAATTATAACAACCAAGAAGGCAGCAATCATTTAAAACAACAAAACATTTCAACATATGACGAGGCTCATATAATGTTAACAGTCTGAAAGGAAACACATGACAACATAAAAATGCAGAACTATTCCTTTAATGTGTTGAAAGCAGCATGTACAAGAAAAAGAATGGTCACAATCACTCAGAATACTTGCAATGTAACAACTCCTTTCCAGCCTTTGGACATATGAATTTTGGGACTGTTACTAACTAAAAGAGATAAATTTATATTTAACGAGGCAGTCTGAGTTGTCCAAATTGATTACACCCTCTCGATTTAGCAACCAGAATCTTGACTAAAAGACCAAATAAAAATAGAAGAAAGAGGGTGCACTGGAGTTTGAAAAGTATCTCAGTTATACCATATCATATCAGATTCCAGCAGATATGGCGTTGGTAAATCAAGGATATATCGCTAATAATTAAGGAGGTGCACAGACTTGAAACAAAGACTCAGCAGATGTAGCTGTGCAGTGCTTCAGATCACTGGGTAGAGTGATGAGCATACACAGAAAGGTATGATCCACTTGGAGGATAACACCATGATTATCATAATTTGAAATAACAAAATTATCTTACAAATGTATGTACAAATATCAAGTCTGGCAGAACAGAGGCATGAATAAAGAGATCATACATACAGTTATTTGCCTCATTAGTCTCACAATACATCAATGATTGTTTCAGCAAACACTTACAAACTTCGGACTAATCCCAAATGAATAACGAATCAAGTATGGGCTTTTCCATCCACTTCACACAGAGGGTTAAATTAAAGTTTGGCTCTGAAGAGGCGTCTGTTGAAAATCTGTAAGATCTGATGTGATGACAGGCAAAATTGAAATTTACGGCTGTGATGTAGGATTTTCAAAAGAATGGTTTGTTTTCAGCATGACAAGTCTCACTCATAATCTCAAAAATGAGTAAACAAATGGCAAAAACTGGACCGCACCAAGACCTAGACTGAGTGAGTGGGTACAGTGTGCGCTGCTTTAGCAATATTTCATTAACATTACTGACACCACAAACTGGCTTCACACATAGTACCCATGTGGGGATTCGAACCAAATGAGTGGATACTTTACCCACTATACTATCCCACAGCCCATTCACATCTCAAAGAAGAGGTTCCAGTTCTTTTCTTCCAGAACAGAATGTCTCAGTTTTATGGAGACACCTTTTGTCCTATGGCCTTTGGTTCTGTAAACTCACCAACAAAATGCCTCTTGTATAGCTTGTTCTTCTGGGTACATCAGCTCTTTTTCAAAGCTTGCTGCTTCATAATGATTATCAATAGAGTTTCCAATTCACACTGCATCCATGACCTGAAAGTCATCAAACTCACCAATCCCAACCGTCATTCTTGCTGATATCAGTATTTTTCTGCTGGGTAATGGCAAAAGGCATTCGCATCTTTCATAAGCATGTTCCTTCATAATGATTATCATCAATGTTTCCAGGGGCGGTGGGGTAGCCTAGTGGTTAAAGCGTTGACTCGTCACGCCGAAGACCCGGGTTCGATTCCCCACATGGGCACAATGTGTTAAGCCCATTTCTGGTGTCCCCCGCCGTGATATTGCTGGAATATTGCTAAAAGCGGCGTAAAACTAAACTCAGTCAGTCAATGTTTCCAATCCACACACCATCCATGACACCAAAGACACCATGTCAAATCACAGAGGCTACCATCTCAACTGACATCTCCCTTGCTGATATTGGCCCTGCTGAGCAATGGCTAAAGACATCTGCTTCGTGTGAAAACATATAACTTCATAATGATGATCAGCAGACCTTCAAATTCACACTTCATCCATGACAAAAAAGTCACCCATATCAACGTCATCCATGTCAAGTTCACAGATGCTATCATCTCCACTGGGAACTCCATCACTGATGTCATCCTGTTTCCGCTCAAATATATTCCCCTCTGTCTTTTCACTCTTCCTTTTCTTCTTGTTATTACTGCTCATCTGGTCCTTATTCTTTGTGTCAACGCCTTCTTTCTTCAAGTACTGACTCTTTGTCTTGGATCTGCTAGCCTTGTCTCTCAAGGATCGATTTCTCAAGTTTCTCTGGTAATCTCTGTCATCAATCTTTTTGCTATGCATCTTTTGAGATTTTGTGGTACCATCATCAACAAATTCCTTTTGATCTCTTTTCATTGAATCATCTTTTCTGACATGCTCAGTGTGTTTTGGAATCTCCCGACCTCTGTTTCTTTTTTCACCACGCCGTCTCACTGATTTATGTGCACTGGAACTTTTACTATATGCTCTGGATCTTCGTCCCTGACTTCCTCTTGTCACGGAGTTGTCTCTCTTGAAGCTGTCATGTTGATTTGGGAATCCTCTATATCTGTCTAATCTTCGACCCTCTCTGCCCAAGCTACTCCCTGCTCCTGGTAATATCCTGCCATCCTGATGAGCACTTTCAGACCAGGCTATGTTGAAAGCTCCTTCATGCTCATCATCATATTTCACCACCTCAACCACCCTCTCACTATGTATAAATCCTTCAATTTCTTCTTCAACAAAGAATTCATTCCCTTCATCAAAATATCCATCATCTTCAACAAAGACAGGCACTCTGTACATTTGATCTTCAAAACTTTGTTGCCTTCCATCCTCATCCCTCCTCATTCTCACACTGCTGTTCCTTGCACTACTAAAACTTGTTCTGTCATCATCTCTATACTCCAAATACTCCTCCTCAGTTTCTTCATCCATTCTCTCTTCTATTTCAGCATTACCTCCTTCACCCATCACAAAACCATCATCCATCACATGAACCCCATCTTCATCCACATAGGCCAGAGCATACTCTTCACTTTCATTCACATATTCATCCATGTACACATCCACATGTTCCTCTTTTTCCACATTCCAGTCTCTCCTGCCAGGAATTTCTTCTATTAACCAACCATGGGTATCTGTCAATTGCTGAAGGTCTTCACTTGACTGACCACGGCTCTCTGTCCTGTGTTGATGTTTATATCTTGATCGATCAGGGTTATCTGTCCTCTGCTGATGTTCCTTCCTTGACCGGTCACCATTACCTCTCCTTTGCGAAAGGTCTTCACTTGCCCAGCCACGGTTATCTGTCCTCTGCTGACGTTCCTTCCTTGACCGATCACCATTACCTCTCCTTTGCGAAAGGTCTTCACTTGCCCGGCCACGGTTATCTGTCCTCTGCTGACGTTCCTTCCTTGACCGATCACCATTACCTCTCCTTTGTGAAAGGTCTTCACTTGCCTGGCCACGGTTATCTGTCCTCTGCTGATGTTCCTTCCTTGATCGATCACTGTTATTTCTCCTTTGCGAAAGGTCTTCACTTGCCCGGCCACAGTTATCTGTCCTCTGCTGACGTTCCTTCCTTGATTGATCACTGTTATCTCTCCTCCCTTTCTTCAACCGTTCACCTTTATCTGTCCTTTGCTGAAAGGACTGACTACGGTCATCTGATTTTGCTGAAAAGCTTGCCTTTTTAATTTCTTCTTCAGTTTCACACTTCATCATCTTATTTTGTTCAAGCATTCTTCTAATGTCTCTTTTGACCCATGAAATACCCTGATGGACTAAGTCAGCATCCACATTGGCTCTCATAGACTGAGATTTTATCATGTAAGCGGACTTGTGAAACAACGAAGCTAAAGCCTTTCTGTGAGGCTGCCTTTGTTTACCCACTCCTTTTTTTAGATTGTCCTTTATTTGATGCAACTGACACAGCTGTTCTTTTTGTGTATCTGTTCGTACTTCTATAGGCTGCAACCACTTTCTTAGCAACAGTTTGTGCCCTTGCTTTCATATCCTTATGTGCTTGACTCAATGTTCCTTTAACTGCAGTACTTTTTCCACCACCTGTTTCCCCAGGGTCTTCATCATCATCACCTACTGCTACATCACCTTCTCCTTCATCTGCTTTAAGTCTCCTTCTTACTTTAATATTAGCATCCTCTAATCTTTCCATCATTATGTGACTCCAAAGTAGGAACCTTTGTATACTATCTGGATGTGTTCTATCAAATTTTGGAACAAATTTCACTTGGGTTTTGAAGCTACATTTTTTCTCAGAAGTGTTTTCTTCAAGAGATGACTTTTTTGGGATGTGCAATTTTCAATGTCTTTGTCCATTCTGGACTCAGAGCAAGAACTGACCCAGACTGGACTGATCTTCTCAATTCATCATTTGCTTTCTTTTCAGTTACCATCTCTGGTTCACTTTCGGATTCAGGGGACGTTTCCTGAGTTGTCATATTGCCCATGTCAAAATCTTTTAAATCCTGAGCATCACGTTCAGGGATGCTACTAGGATCTTCACTTGACATTACTACTGACTGAGAAGCAACAGGTGGTTGTTCCATTACAAACTCTGGTGGCTGAACACTTACAGACTGGGTGATTACTTGCCCAGTCTGTGGGAGTTGTAATGGGGCACCTGCTCGAGGAGAAGTTGGTGGGACTACTGAAGGAGCAACTGATGCAACAACTTGGGTGTGTGGGGAAGCCACAACAGAAGCTTGCTGTGATTGTGCTCTTACTTGGGGCTGAAAAGGCACTTGAGAATAGCTTACAGGAGGAACTATGAATGACTGAGTACTCACTGCAGGCCTTGAAGCCACCACTGGTTGCCGAGTTGATGTATTTGAAAACAAAGAGACAGGGGGCCGAGGATATGAATATGACTGACTTCCAACATAAAGCTGATGGGGAGGGAGAGGGACAGGTGGAGGGCGAGGTGGAGGTGGCACAGGTTTGGGAACAGATGCTGTAGAGGGGTAGAAGGGTGTTACTTGCCCATGAAAAGGCACTGCTTGTTGAGTGGGCACCTGGGATGCTAGAAGTTGTGGATCAGACCTTGGAGTAGGCTGCTGTGATGGCAATATTGGCAACTGAGGCCTCTGCACATTCTGGCTAGACAGCAATGGTGCACTTAATGAAGATGTAGGCATTGTCTGCATAGGCCTGTTTCCAGCACTTCTTGAACCAATATCTGAAATTGTTGGTATGTCTGTCTCGGATCTTGGTAATATTTGTCTTTGAAATTCATCATAAGCCCTTTCAAGCGGACTACTTCCAAAATGTAAGTTTTCAGACCCTTCAGAGTTATCCTCAACAGCTTCTGGTTCTTCTTCAGTCCTCATCTCTGTGTTTTGATGCTTATTCTTGATATGAAGCAGAAGAAAGTCTTTCTTCATGAACGATTTGGGGCATTTGGGGCATCTCAGGTAATGGAATCCTGATAAATGATCTTCAGCATCTTTCTTTTGTGGAGGCTTGGTCACTTTCATGCAGGTTTCCCTGGTCACACTGCCAGGCATGACAAAGTGAATGTTGTCTCTCTCCTCTTGTCTAGCACCAAGCAGGAATGTTGACATTTCACTTCTGTCCTCAATCCCATGAAAAAAATCCAGGTGTTCACGAAAATCATCTGCATCTACACATTCCATGCTACAGAATGAACAGATGAGATAAAGAACCTTTGCTTCATGAATCTTTGTCCAGTGATGGTCAAACTGCTCTGATTTGCCTTTAAATAAACACCCAGAGACATTGCACTCGTATTCAGCTACTAATGGCATGTCTGGAATGCTGTCTACTTGTGTCAAACGTGACATCAAAGGATCTTGAGTGGATTGCCTTCTTGGCTGATATACTTCAGGTAACCTTTGTGGTTGTGCATCTTTAACGAACCTTCGTGGCTGTGTATGTTCAAGCAACCTTTGTGGTTGTGCATCTTTAAGTAACCTTTGTGGTTGTGCATCTTCAAGCAACCTTCGTGGTTGTGCATCTTCAACCAACCTTCGTGGCTGTGCATCTTCAAGCAACCTTCGTGGCTCTCTAGCTTCTGGTGGATCATAACCTTGATTCAGTGATTTGATAGATTCAGGCAATCTTTGTTGTTGAACAGTTTCTTGGGGTCTTTGTTCCCTCCAAGATGGAAAGGTTTCAGATGGCAGGTTCTGAAGGAACAAAATTGAAGTGTATGAAGCTACATTTTGCTCATAGAAAGTTAGTGGATCCTATCACCATAAAACGTGGTCACAGTCATGTAGATGCATTTCAAAGTGGCAAATAAAATCTTTAAACTGTGAAGAACAACATTTATGGATTGACAATGTGTATTTTTCAGAACATGCGGTATGAATTGAAAAACTGATGAAAAATTGTATGAAACTGTGAAGCAGATACTTACAAAACTCTGCACATCAGGTTTTTGGTTCATACCTTACGGACCGAAAAAATATACACTGTCAATCCTAATAAGTAAATCTGACAACGAAAACATATGGTATTTATGATTGTTTAATCAAAGACTATTTTCATCAAAGCAGACAAAAACAAGATGATATACATTCAAAGTGATGAAAACAAGAAGACACAGTTGAAAAATATGCTTTTTAGAAATGTTCCCCAGCCAAGAGAATAAAAAGTGAGCAAGCTTGCACAAATCTTGGTTCCACACTTCTTGCCTTAGGCCATGTAGGGTGGTATGGACAATCTTGAATGTGCATGTATATCACATAAACATCCTGTGGATGATATGGGAAAGCAGAAAGGGAATTCCGTGGAGTGTTTATGGGATTCCCCAACATTTCGTAACGTTGAGAGTAATACCGCTTTTAATGGGCATGGCTTAATGTTTCACATGCACTGGGTTCTCTTAAGTGCTATATATATATATATATATATATATATATATATATAGGAAGAAGTTTCTGAAATAATCACACGACATGGATCTTCTCCAGCATGTTTCACTTTTTTCTTCAGGGAGAAGTCTATATATATATATGTTACAATACTAACAGTAACAAATCTTCAAACAATCAAAACCAATAATGTCCCTCTAAGAAATTGCCTTCGTTTTTCTCTCACAAAGCAACAGTGTGATGTCTCTCCAAGATGCTGTCTCTCCCTTCTCTCACAAGGAAAGGGTGATGTCTCTCTCTTCTCTCTTAAGGCCAGTGTGATGTCTCCCTAAAATGCTGCCTCTCTCTTCTCTCACAAGGTCAGTGTGATGTCTCTACAAGATGCTGCCTCTCTCTTCTCTCACCAGGTCAGTGTGATGCCTCTCATAGATGCTGCCTCTCTTTTCTTTCACAAGGTCAGTGTGATGTCTCCCTAAGATGCTGCCTCTCTCTTCTCTCGCAAGGTCAGTGTGATGTCCCTCATAGATGCTGCCTCTCTTTTCTTTCACAAGGTCAGTGTGATGTCTCCCCAAGATGCTGCCTCTCTTTTCTTTCACAAGGTCAGTGTGATGTCTCCCCAAGATGCTGCCTCTCTCTTCTCTCACAAGGTCAGTGTGATGTATCTCCAAGATGCTGCCTCTCTATTCTCTCACAAGGAAAGTGTGATGTCTCTCCAAAATGCTGCCCCTCTTTCTCTCACAAGGGCAATGTGATGTATGTCCAAAATGCTGCCTCTCTCTTCTCTCACAAGGTCAGTTAGTGTCCCTCATAGATGCTGCCTCTCTTTTCTATCACAAGGTCAGTGTGATGTCTCCCCAAGATGCTGCCTCTCTCTTCTCTCACAAGGGCAGTGTGATGTATCTCCAAGATGCTGCCTCTCTCTTCTCTCACAAGGGCAGTGTGATGTCTCCCCAAGATGCTGCCTCTCTCTTCTCTCACAAGGGCAGTGTGATGTATCTCCAAAATGCTGCCTCTCTCTTCTCTTACAAGGGCAGTGTGATGTATCTCCAAAATGCTGCCTCTCACTTCTCTCACAAGGGCAGTGTGGTGTCTCTCCAACATGCTGTCTCTCTATTCTCTCACAAGGAACGTGTGATGTCTCTCCAAGAAGCTGCATCACTCTTCTCTCACAACGGCACTGTGGTGTCTCTCCAAGATGCTGCCTCTCTTTTCTCTCACAAGGGCAGTGTCATGTCTCCCCAAGATGCTGCCTCTCTCTTCTCTCACAAGGAAAGTGTCATGTCTCTCCAAGATGCTGCCTCTCTCTTCTTTCACAAGGGCAGTGTGGTGTCTCTCCAACATGCTGTCTCTCTATTCTCGCACAAGGAACGTGTGATGTCTCTCCAAGAAGCTGCATCACTCTTCTCTCACAACACAACAGTGTGATGTCTCTCCAAGATGCTGCCTCTCTTTTCTCTCACAAGGGCAGTGTGATGTCTCTCCAAGATGCTGCCTCTCTTTTCTCTCACAAGGGCAGTGTGATGTCTCTCCAAGATGCTGCCTCTCTTTTCTCTCACAAGGGCAGTGTGATGTATCTCCAAGATGCTGCCTCTCTTTTCTCTCACAAGGGCAGTGTCATGTCTCCCCAAGATGCTGCCTCTCTCTTCTCTCACAAGGAAAGTGTCATGTCTCTCCAAGATGCTGCCTCTCTCTTCTTTCACAAGGGCAGTGTCATGTCTCTCCAAGATGCTGCTTCTCTCTTCTCTCACAAGGAAAGTGTCATGTCTCTCCAAGATGCTGCCTCTTTCTTCTTTCACAAGGGCAGTGTCATGTCTCTCCAAGATGCTGCCTCGCTTCTGACAGGAGGCTTGGTGTAGAGGACTGTGGTCCCTGCATTACGTATCCTGACAGGAGGCTTGGTGTAGAGGACTGTGGTGCCTGCATCACATATCCTAACAGGAGGCTTGGTGTAGAGGACTGTGGTCCCTGCATCACATATCCTGACAGGAGGCTTGGTGTAGAGGACTGTGGTGCCTGCATCACATATCCTAACAGGAGGCTTGGTGTAGAGGACCGTGGTCCCTGCATCACATATCCTGACAGGTGGCTTGGTGTAGAGGACTGTGGTATCTGCATCACATATCCTGACAGGAGGCTTGGTGTAGAGGACTGTGGTACCTGCATCACATATCCTGACAGGAGGCTTGGTGTAGAGGACTGTGGTGCCTGCATCACATATCCTGACAGGAGGCTTGGTGTAGAGGACTGTGGTCCCTGCATCACATATCCTGACAGGAGGCTTGGTGTAGAGGACTGTGGTACCTGCATCACATAACCTGACAGGAGGCTTGGTGTACAGGACTGTGGTCCCTGCATCACATAACCTGACAGGAGGCTTGGTGTACAGGACAGTGGTACCTGCATCACATATCCTGACAGGAGGCTTGGTGTACAGGACTGTGGTACCTGCATCACATAACCTGACAGGAGGCTTGGTGTAGAGGACTGTGGTACCTGCATCACATATCCTGACAGGAGGCTTGGAGTAGAGTACTGTGGTCCCTGCATCACATAACCTGACAGGAGGCTTGGTGTAGAGGACTGTGGTCCCTGCATCACATATCCAGACAGGAGGCTTGGAGTAGAGTACTGTGGTCCCTGCATCACATAACCTGACAGGAGGATTGGTGTAGAGGACTGTGGTCCCTGCATCACACATCCTGACAGGAGGATTGGTGTAGAGGACTGTGGTACCTGCATCACACATCCTGACAGGAGGCTTGGTGTAGAGGACTGTGGTACCTGCGTCACATATCCTTACAGGAGGCTTTGGAAAGCATCTTTGGTCACCATATTACATTTCTTTCAAACAGGCTGTGTTCACATACCCTCATTTTAGGCTTGGTAGAGGGCCAAGTTTAATTAGATCACATACCTCCATATCACATACCCTCATTGTAGGCTTGGTGTAGGGAATAAAGTTCCCCATATCATATATCCCCATATGTTCCTTAAATGAACAGGCTCGGCATTGGGGACAATGTTTACTAGGTCACATACTCTCATAAGAGACTAATCTCAAGAGGTTTGGTGTAGGGACAATGTTCACCACATGACACACCTTCATGTGTTCCTTTCCTTATGAGGCTTGGCGGATGGGGCAACGTTCACCAGATCACATACCCTGATTGGAGGCTTGGTGTTATGGGACAACCTTCACCAGATCACATACCCTGACTGGAGGCTTGGTGTATGGGACAACCATCACCAGATCACATACCCTGATTGGAGGCTTGGTGTATGGGACAACCATCACCAGATCACATACCCTGATTGGCGGCTTGGTGTATGGGACAACATTTACCAGATCACATAGCTCCATACGTGCCTTACCTTAAGAGGCTTGGTGTAGGGACAATATTCACAAGATCACATACCCCTATACATTCCTTACCTCATGATGCCTGGCGTAGGTGACTTTGATCTCCTTATCATCAATAACATGTGGCTTGTTTGATACTGCTTTCTCTGCATCACCAAGTTTTTCAAATATCACAAATGCACAGCCAGTTGGTCTGAAAAACAAGTGTAGAAGTGAGCACAGCTCACATACCCCCGCTTCCCACTTTGGGACATGGAAATGACTGATATTGATATATATAATGTGACAAGGATCAGCAGCTCACAACGCTTTCTCCTTGACTCTACTAAACTTCATATACATGTTAGATAATTGTTTTGCCACGTACTGCTTACAGTAATAATTTATGGAAACATTACTTTTTTGTGTTTTCCGTGGAAACCTGACATACAATTGAACTTGTTGCACACAATGAAGTGGACGTAGATGAAGACTGCTATTTTTTAGCACATGGCATATCTGTGGGTCATGATTAACTTGTGTATTAAGTTTGGTGAACCTAGAATGTATAGTTTCGATGATATGCTGTGGCCAGGTAACCATCAAACACATTTTGCACTAAGTCATGTTTCCATGGAAACAACAACAAAACAAATTCTGATATTTTTTTAAAATAACAAAAGGCACATCAATGGGTCATGATTAACATGTGTGTGAAGTTTGGTGAACCTAGCATGTAAACTTTAAGAGATATGCTCCGGACAAAGTTTCGGGATGGATGGACGGACAGACGGACGGACAGAATGAACGCTATATACCCCCGTTACTTTGTAGCGGGGGTATAAATAGTGAGAGCATAAATGTTTTAAGCTTTTGGACCAGTCTAGTGATTAATATTATGAACAATGATGACCACTTTTGCCTACAATCAGCCAGAACCCTACCATCACTTGGCCATGTGCAGATCAGGTTGCAAGGAAACAATTCTAACATGGAATATTATTGCAATACTCAGCAATATTCCAGCTATATGACAGCAGTTAGTAAACATCCAAAATGGGATGTGACAATCCTTGCACCATCAGCATCAACCTACACAGATGAGGTTTAAGCTGGCACGCATCATCCAAGTAAGTGAGCATGACCATGTGAGTCGCCTCTTTACAGACTATACCATCGACCATGACAAGATCACAATTAATACAATCTGGGACTTAACCCAGCAGATACTGGCAGGTGTAAGGGACACAACTAACCTCAATGTCGCATCCTTCACCAGCTCAAACTCCTCGACTCTTCCCAATCTGGAGAAGTAGCACATCAGCGTGTAACTGTGTGTGTGTGCTGCCAACCCTGATATTCTCAGCTTCCTACTGGGAGGCTCAGCCTTGTGGGGAACCTAGATGTGAAAGAGTGAATTGATGGAAATAATTACATTACATCTTTCACATCCATGAATGTCATATCTTAAATATGAGATCTTGAAAACATGTGAGTATATATACAGTGGATCAAGGATCATCAAAAGGAAGAATCCAGAATAAAGCGACAATCACATCCTGGCAATGGAGCTCTGCAAAACTGGGTTGACTATATCCTGGTCAAAAGGGAGTATGGTTTCGATGCTGCTTTTAGCAATAATATGGCTATATCATGGAGGAGGAAACAACAAATGGGCTTCAGACATATTATTCATGCGGGGAATTGAACCAAGGTCATTAGCATGATGGGTGAACACTTTAACCACAAAGCTACTCACAACCCCATATAGAAATATGAACTTTCCCTTGTCTGTGTTACTGAATACAAACTTTTTCTCATCTACTGTCAACACTAAATATTGAGTGCACAAGAAAGGAGACATGAAAGAAAAGATTAGGTGACTCACAGGATAGATGAGTCTAGCAAATCTTGCAGTTGACAATCAGATTTTGTAAGACAGGAGACATAAATCTACACAACTGTCTTAACAATCAGATCCTGGTAGACAGGGGACATAACTCTACACAACTGACTTGACAATCAGATCCTGGTAGTCAGGGAACATAACTCTACATAACTGACTTGACAATCAGATCCTGGTAGACAGGGAACATAACTCTACACAACTGACTTGACAATCAGATCCTGGTAGACAGGGGACATAACACTACACAGCTGACTTGACAATCAGATCCCGGTAGACAGGGGACGTAACTCTACACAACTGACTTGACAATCAGATCCTGGTAGACAGGGGACATAACTCTACACAACTGAGTTGACAATCAGATCCTGGTAGACAGGGAACATAACTCTACACAACTGACTTGACAATCAGATCCTGGTAGACAGGGGACATAACTCTACACAACTGACTTGACAATCAGATCCTGGTAGTCAGGGAACATAACTCTACACAACTGACTTGACAGTCAGATCCTGGTAGACAGGGGACACAACTCTACACAACTGACTTGACAATCAGATCCTGGTAGACAGGGGACATAAGTCTACACAACAGACTTGACAATCAGATCCTGGTAGTCAGGGGACATAACTCTACACAACAGACTTGACAATCTGATCCTGGTAGACAGGGAACATAACTCTACACAACTGACTTGACAATCAGATCCTGGTAGTCAGGGGACATAACTCTACACAACTGACTTGACATTCAGATCGTGGTAGTCAGTGGACATAACTCTACACAACTGACTTGACAATCAGATCCTGGTAGACAGGGAACATAACTCTACACAACTGACTTGACAATTAGATCCTGGTAGACAGGGAACATAACTCTACACAACTGACGTGACAATCAGATCCTGGAAGACAGGGGACAGAACTCTACACAACTGCCTTGACAATCAGATCCTGGTAGACAGGGGACATAACTCTACATAACTGCCTTGACAATCAGATCGTGGTAGACAGGGAACATAACTCTACACAACTGACTTGACAATCAGATCCTGGTAGTCAGTAGACATAACTCTACATAACTGCCTTGACAATCAGATCCTGGTAGACAGGGAACATAACTCTACACAACTGACTTGACAATCAGATCCTGGTAGTCAGGGGGCAGAACTCTACACAACTGACTTGACAATCAGATCCTGGTAGACAGGGAACATAACTCTACACAACTGACTTGACAATCAGATCGTGGTAGACAGGGAACATAACTCTACACAACTGACTTGACAATCAGATCCTGGTAGACAGGGGACATAACTCTACACAACTGACTTGACAATCAGATCCTGGTAGACTGGGGACATAACTCTACACAGCTGACGTGACAATCAGATCCCGGTAGACAGGGGACGTAACTCTACACAACTGACTTGACAATCAGATCCTGGTAGTCAGGGGACATAACTCTACACAACTGACTTGACAATTAGATCCTGGTAGACAGGGGACATAACTCTACACAAATGACTTGACAATCAGATCCTGGTAGACAGGGGACATAACTCTACACAACTGACTTGGCAATCAGAGTGAGTGAGTTATTATTTAACGTCACATCGGCAATATTGCATCCATATCGTGACCCTGACAATCAGATCCTGGTAGTCAGGGAATATAACTCTACACAACTGAGATTGACATCCAATGATTGAGGGAAACAGTACCAGTGCCTTGAGCATGTATTAGTTGTGTGGATATGCACGCTATATAAATATCCTAAAATAATAATAATGATAATAAATAATAATAACTTGACAATCAGATCCTGGTAGTCAGAGGACATTACTCTACACAACTTTATCACTGAGCCAAGATCACATTTACTTACCCAGCCAGTCAAGTCAGTCCAACGCAGACACAGTTTCCTCTGATTCAGAAAGTGATCGTCACGAAAGCAACATGCAGCATCAACTTCTTTCACGTAGGCTAAAAGGGCAATCTGCTCATCTCTGGAAAGGAAGACAAGTGAGTGAGTGAGTTTTGGTTTTACGCCGCTTTTAGCAATATTCCAGCAACATCACGGCGGGGGACACCAGAAATGGGCTTCACACAATGTACCCATGTGGGGATTCGAACCTGGGTCTTCGGCGTGACGAGCCAACGCTTTAACCACTAGGCTACCCCACCGTCCCAGGAAGACAAGTAACTGTGACAAAACAAAGAATACAGGCTTATTAGGGGGTGCATGTTCCCGTTACAGACAAGGAATACAGCGAACCTAACCTCCTCATGGCACTTGATAATTCAGTGATCATGAACATCAATCTAAGCACTTAGGATCGTCAACAGTCATTCACTCTCACTAGTCGCCTCCTATGGGTCGCCTCCTAAGTGATGAGGCTCAGTGATTGAAAGCTATTACAGATATTTGTGCTATTGATCTCTTCTCCTCATATCCAGTACAATCTATACAAGTGATGAGGCTCAATGATGGAAAGCTATTACAGATATTTGTGCTATTGTTCTCTTCTCCTCATATCCAGTACAATCTATACAAGTGATGAGGCTCAATGATTGAAAGCTATTACAAATATTTGTGCTATTAATCTCTTCTCCTCATATTCAGTACAATCTATACAAGTGATGAGGTTCAATCATTGTCCCCTCTTAAAGACATTTGTGCTTGAAATCTGTTCTCGTCACATCCAGTACAATCTATACAAAACATGGGGCTCAATCTATCTACTCCTGGTTCATTTTACACAAGAGTAACTTTTTCACGCTTTTTAAAATGTGATCAAAATCAATTTTATTCAGAAACAGCATTTCACTGTGGTCCCTAATCTATATATCTTGACATTTGTTTGACAGCTGATTTTTCACTTGACCAATATACCTTTCTTTCCCTGCTGCTTTCAAAACTGATGTCATTTACATTGATATGGATGAATATGTGTAAGGTCATTGAGCCAAATTGCCTGGGGATGTCATGGCAAATGGTCGTAATGGTAGTAACCAAACACAACACAGAAACAGTGTCTGCCTGAAGGTCGAGTCTCCATGATAATGTCAGGTCACATGATGAGAACTATGCTTATTACCTCCTGGTGAGTGAGTGAGTTTTATGACGCACTCAGCAATATTCCAGCTATATGGTGGTTGTCTGTAAATAATCGACTCTGGACCAGACAATCCAGTGATCAACAGCATGAGCATCGATCTAGTCGCCTCTTACAAAAGGCATGGGTTACTGAAGATCAATTCTAATACGGATCTTCACAGGTCATTAACTCCTGGAAATTTCCAGAATACAAGTATGTTTTAAAATTTTGTTACAAATATTACCTTTAGGATTTTTGCCTTCCAGATTCAAGTTTTAACATGCTATATAAATAATATAGCTGTATAAATTTTTACTGTATATCACCTTTAACAAAGAGGGCGGTGGTGTTGTCTAGTGATGACAGCCTTCACTTGTCATGTCGAAAACATGGGTTCAATTCCCCACATGGGTACAATGTTTAAAGCCCATTTCTGGTGTCCCTGACACTGCTGGAAAATTGCTAAATCTGGCATAAAACTCACTCACTGACTCCTCTAACATAGCCAACAACTGCACTTACAAGCCAGCCGGTTTGACCGCACAGCTAGCCAGGCTTCCATACTTCTTGAAGTACTCGTATAGCTCCTCCTTTGTTGTATTGACATTCACATTGGACACAGAAAGATAACAATTCTGTACTTTCTGCAACAACAAAATGTCATGTATACAAAACATTATGCCACATTTTAAAATTTCCCGGAATATTGGTGAAATGTAAAGAAAACAGTAAAACAGTCCTGAAAGAACTTGATGAAGTCACTCAGAGTACTATTTATTGAAGCGGTTGGTTTTAAACTGAGACTTGAAAGTGTCAGTGGTTGGTGAACTCTTCATGGCGGGAGGGGGCAGATTGTTCCAAAGTATGGGGGCTGATGCACTGAAAGCCTTTTCACCAAAGGGTTTCAGTTTAGTACTTGCGACTGACTGACTGAGTTTGGTTTTACGCCGCTTTCAGCAATATTCCAGCAACATCACGGCGGGGGACACCAGAAATGGGCTTCACATATTGTGCCCATGTGGGGATTCGAACCCGGGTCTTCGGCGTGACGAGCCAACACTTTAACCATTAGGCCACCCCACCACCCCTTTAGTACTTGGAACAGACAGGAGATGTTGGTGGTCTGCCTGGAGGTTTCTGGGGGCCTTGTGATCTAAGATGAGTTTACTGAGATACGCTGGAGCTAGGTCATGCTGACATCTATAGGCAAGACACAATATTTTGAAGTGGTTCCTTGCCTCTATGGGCAACCAGTCTTTCAAAGCTGGGTAACAATTCCTAGGAGATTATATATACAGTGGAAGAACAGATGTTTATTTGGCCTGAACATGTAAAGAGAGCATTGAGAACATACCTGTCCAACAGCTGACATTATCTTTGGATCTGAAACAAACAATAAGACCTACATCATATTTGATATTTTATGAAATCATATAACACATCCATATGTCTGCCATGTCCCCTTGGCTCTGTATCACCATGACCTGCAACCCAGACACAGCAGCTCTCTGTATTACCATGGTCTGCAAGCCAGGGACACAGAAGCTCTCTGTATTACCATGGTCTGCAAGCCAGGGACACAGGAGCTCACTGTATTACCATGGTCTGCAAGCCAGACACAGCAGCTCTCTGTATTACCATGACCTGCAAGCCAGACACAGCAACTCTCTGTATTACCATGGCCTACATGCCAAACACAGGAGCTCTCTGTATCACCATGACCTGCAAGCCAGGAACACAGGAGCTCCCTGTATCACCATGGCCTGCAAGCCAGACACAGCAGCTCTCTGTATTACCATGACCTGCAAGCCAGACACAGCAACTCTCTGTATTACAATGACCTGCAAGCCAGACACAGCAACTCTCTGTATTACCATGGTCTACAAGCCAGGAACACAGGAGCTCTCTGTATCACCATGACCTGCAAGCCAGACACAGCAACTCTCTGTATTACCATGGTCTACAAGCCAGGAACACAGGAGCTCTCTGTATCACCATGACCTGCAAGCCAGACACAGCAACTCTCTGTGTTACCATGACCTGCAAGCCAGACACAGCAACTCTCTGTATCACCATGGTCTGCAAGCCAGGAACACATGAGCTCTCTGTATTACCATGACCTGCAAGCCAGACACAGCAGCTCTCTGTATCACCATGGTCTGCAAGCCAGGAACACAGGAGCTCTCTGTATCACCATGGTCTGCAAGCCAGGAACACAGGAGCTCACTGTATTTCCATGGTCTGCAAGCCAGGAACACAGCAGTTCTCTGTATTACCATGGCCTGCAAGCCAGGAACACATCAGCTCTCTGTATCACCTGCAAGCCAAACACACAGGAGCTCTCTGTATTGCCACATCCTGCAAGCCAGACACACAGGAGTTCTCCTTATCACCATGCAAGACACAGGAGCTCTCTGTATCACCATGACCTGCATGCCAAACACAGGAGCTCTCTGTATCACCATGGCCTGCAAGCCAAACACAGGAGCTCTCTGTATCACCATGGCCTGCAAGCCAAACACAGGAGCTCTCTGTATCACCATGGCCTGCATGCCAGACACAGGAGCTCTCTGTATTACAATGGCCTGTAAGCCAGACACACATGAGCTCTCTGTATCACAATGGCCTGCAAGCCAGACACAGGAGCTCTCTGTATCACCATGACCTACAAGCCAGACACAGGAGCTCTCTGTATCACCATGGCCTGCAAGCTAAACACACGTGAGTTTTCTGCATGAACCATCAGTGTTTAGCCTGTAGTATGAAAAACAAGAAACACATGTTGGTGCTTTAAAAACTATATAGAGGGTTTCTAATGTATTTAATGTCATATCAATGGCAATCCAAATATTCGAGATATAGAGCAAATAACCTACCTTTGGAAGCTTCCAGCAACTGAAAATAAAAAACAGATGATGTGTCATTAGAAGACAAAGATATTAGAACAAAAAAAAAGCTGAACCCACAACTGAAATAACTTGAAAGAGGCACCTCAGCACTGCAAACAAACCTTTGCGACTGCGACTGCTATCTTTGTTGACAAAGATGTAACGGCGGCTTAGCTGATTGGCTACTGTGAGAATGCGGAGCCAGCAAAGGGAGGTAATACAATTATGGGACCAAGGCATGGATGCATCCAGGGTATAGTGGAGAGTGATCGTAATGTATACCCAGGAGATTATCGAGGATGCAACCAAACATGCTGGTCATAAAAGACATTTAACAGGATCAGTTGGTCAGGGTCGCTGATTTGGCCGATACATGTCATCATTGATCGGTTGTGTAGAATATCGTAGATGGATGCTCATGATGTTGATCACTGGATTGTCTGGTCCAGACTCAGTCATTTGCAGACTGCTGCCATATAGCTGAAATATTGCTGACTGTTGCATAAAACAACAAACAAACAAAACCATAAAGAGGCTTCATGTACTCACTTGTGTGTTCGTCTTCTCTGCCACACTTACAAAAATCTTCTTGTGTTTCAGTGTGTGTGGCATTATCATTGCTTTCAGAGCATCTTCTAGTTCTTGGTAGCAAACAAAGCCGTAGCGACTGTTGCTGTAACAAGAGTTAGCTGGGTTTTACACTGCTTTGAACAGAGTTTCTGAATCAAGGACTGAAAGGCAGAATATAACATGTCTACAGATCAAGGCTTAGCTGATAATTATAAGGGAAGTAACTATAGGTAAGATTAGTAGGGGGAAAAATTATATTGTAGCCTGGTTGTGATATTAATGATAATCAGAGACAGGCACCCATGAAGAGAACACAACTCACAACAAGTCAATACAGCTCAGGTGTTCGGGTGTGGTGTTTTTCTGAAGCTGGAAACAGATCTCACAGTGTTTCCAGTCACTCATCCAAAATGGAGAAATGCACAGTGAGATATAAGATTATAAAAATTTGTGGTGATGCAGAAAATTACATGGCAGACATGTGTGCTCATGCGGTGTCATATGTGGGTTTGACACCAGACAGACACAGCATACAACTCCTAGCAGTACTTGTCCTATCCCCTGAAAGTTCCAGGCAGGGTAACAAGAAAAAAACATTGTTTAATATCTTAATGTATGAACCAGTTTTGAATTGAATTTTTCCACACTCTATCAATCAGACTACAGAGATGGTGTGTGTGTGTGTGGAGGGTGGTGTGTATGTGTATGTGTTAAGGGGTAGGGGGGTTAAAGAGGTTGGGAGAAGAGATGCTCACTTCTTATCTTTTCCTTCAAAGCTGCAAAAGGTGATTTTCCCCCACATGGAGAAGTGCTGCTTCAGTTCATCGGCAGTGGCTTCATGAGGTATATAATTCACAAACAGCTTGTTCGTCTACAACAGAGAAATTTATGGCACTGAAATTAAACAATAAATAAACGTTATTGCCATTCAGCCTCTACAAAATGAAATATGTACAGTGTATGACTAGATACGAAGAACTTTGAGGCCCAGAAAATGTATTCTGGGATCAGGGGTTCAGGCTCACTAACTTGGTTAACACATGTCATTTTATCCCCATTGCGTAAATCAATGCTTATGATATTGATCACTGGATTCTCTGGTCCAGACTCAATTATTTACAGTTGATTGTGGTGTTAACAGCAAACAAACGAAACAAACAAATCTTTTGAGTTAGATAATGTAATTTTCTGAGTAAAATTGAAATTTTATACTTATCCTGACTCATGTATTATTGCTTGTCTTCTTCCTTCCGCGAACATTAGTGGAACACTTGTATCTCCTTTTTGAAGCCCCCCTTCAAGAAAGCAGACGTAAAATCACTACTCACCATGAGTTGCCTCCCTCCGTTTTGGCGGGAAAACGGCGCCACCCGTCTTTCCACTCCTCACTCTCTCCGAATTGCAAGCTAGACACTTAGATTTTCTGGGAAATCCAAAGTGCCTAGCGGGGAGGTTGGGAGGGCTTACCTCATGAGTATAAAATATCAATTTTACTCAGAAAATTACATATTTTTCCTTATCCTGAGTCATGTATTATTGCTTGTAGAATCCTACAAATTTGGTGGTGAGTCAAGCCACTTCTGGATTCCAATTTGGTGATTTACGTCTTGCATACCCCCCCCTATGGGAACTTCCTGGTAGCACTTCTTTTACTGCTAGGCTCTGCTGCTGCTGTAACCCTTTACTTCCAGCTTTCTCTGACGGGGGGACCACAATTGTTAACTTTTGGTCCTTGCTTCTGTTAACATTTTTATGTGGATTTTAGCAACTCCATCTCTTGATGCAAGCATCAAGTGGAGAAGCGACCCTTCTTATGTACGAGTACATCCTTACAAGTACTGGGTCTTATCACTTATGCTTGTCTGTCTTAGACGTGCATATGGACTCTAAAGCTGTTACTCTCCTGAGTGTTGGCTTTTGCAAGTCATGTGATAAAAGGGCGAGACTGTCTCAGTGCCTCTGTGGAACTGTCAATTGTTGTGCTACAACAAGTGGGACGAAATGGTGAATGCCAGAGACGTCCTCAGTGGCGAGGAACACGTAAGCATTTAGTCCTTCCCAAGAGATGCTTAGAGCATCTGTTGCCCATGCTCGTGGATCTGGTATTGGAGAGACGAATGTTACCAGTTGATTGCTGAATCTTGTGGCAAACAAGTCCATTAGTGGCGCTCCTCTTGTATGATCTGTTTAAAGATTTCTGGATGGAGCATTCATTCTGTTGGGGATAGCTGAGTTGGACGAGATAGTGCGTCTGCTATCACATTCTTGGCTCCTGGAATGTGGCATGCTTTTATGTGGATGTTCAGATTGTCTGTTGTGAAAGCACAGGTTCAGGAGGTTCGCCGACCTTGTTGACCCTTGTTTGCTTATGTAGAACGCCACTGTTAGATGAGCATTCTTTAAAATGCTGGTCCAGTGGAGTATGGCGTTTATCACTGCTTTCATTTCTAGCATGTTGATGTGCAGATCTTTCTCTTGTAATGTCCATTTCCCAGCTGACACTTCGAGGTGTGCTCCCCATCCTTGGAGAGATGCGTCCACATAGAGATGCGTCTTGCACTCCGGCTCTGCTAAGTAGGTGCCTCCGCAAACATTCGATCTCTGAGTCCACCATAGTAGATATGATTTTAGTCTGTCCGGGAGTCCAAAGGGGTCCGGATCGTCCAGATGTGCAATTACGAAGACCTGTAGTGGGCGTAGTTGTAATCTCCCTCTGCGCGTCATATCCTGTGCTGACCTGAGGAGACCCAACAGGCTCTGCCACTGTCGGAGTGGCCACGGAGAGAGTAGAGCTTGCGAGCTGGGGGTGGAAGACTCCAGTCGTTCTGAATCCGTCCTTCATCGTCTAAAGCCTCTGGCACCTCTGGGTGCCCTGCCTCGTCCGGATCGTCCTCTTACTGGATGGGCGACGAAAAGAATCCTTTCCTCCTTTGGAGGTTCCCATTTTCTTTTCTCTTGCTTTCTGGATGCCTGCAAATTTAGATTTGCCAGAGTAGCGTTGGGACGTCTGCCTGATGACACTGGCTAGTGTATCAATGGACTTAATCATCATGACTTCCCTGGATTCCTTTGTGACTTCCTTGGCAACCTCGTCAATCTCCCCTGCGAAGATGGATGTTGTAGACCATGGAGCTCTGTACAGAGTCTTAGTGACGCGTTCACTCCAATTACATGAAGACAATAGTCCTTGTCTTCTGGCGAGCGACAATGCTGCTGATATGTATGATAAATGCTCTGACATAAATTGGTGATCCTTTTTCTGCGTTAGTAGGGCACAATAAATCATCCGGTCTTCCTCTGCAGTAGAGTTTCTGAACTTGGAGATGAGCATTTCATTAATTGCCCTGGATCTGTTAAGTCCGAAGAACATCCTTCTGGTCATAGTGTCTATCTGTGCCAGCTTTTTGTCATCAATCTTGTAAGATTTGGTCCGGGAGTCGTTGATGATTTTATAGTTCTCATCTATTTCTTGTGCCTTCATAAAGGGATCCATGTTATGTAGTGAGAACTTCTTTGCGTTGAACTGTGGGATATTAGGAGACTGGAAATTAGTTGCCACCCTGAAGGCTGCGTCCAGGTCCTCTGGTACGTCCGAGATGAGTATGATGAACTACGTGTAGTTCTAAGAGGAGATCTGTATGGCAACCTGCGTGGAGGTGAGCGTCTTCTAGGCCGGGATAGCCTTCCTGAAGGCAATATATTTCTAAGTGGTGAATCCCGTGACGACCTGGGAGGTGTTGTTGACGCCCTTGATGATAATTCAGACGACCTTCACGCAGGTGAGAGGTTTTGTTGAGGGTCTGAGTGCCAAGACGTCTCTCTAAACCTTCTAGGAGGTGTAGGTTTCTTTCTCTGTGAAGTGGGTAGCCTGTGTCAAGGTCTGAGGGTGAAGTGGGATGGTCCAAAGACGTCTATATTAATCGTCGAAACTGCAGAGCATGACTGTCAAGTGTGTGATCCTTCACACATTTCTTCATGCCGATTACCTCCCACAGCTTCGTCCTTTAGGCTTGCGCGAACCGTCCATTAGGTCCATCATTTGCTGCATAAAAATACCCGTGTTGAAGGTCTGCGACGACTGCAGCTGTAGTGACGCATCTGAGAGTGTTGTGGCTTTATGCGTTGAACTGTGGGATATTTGGAGACTGGAACTTTGTTGCCTTCCTGAAGGCTGCGTCACGGTCCTCAGGTACGTCCGGGACCGGGTCAATTGGAGGTAGGGTGATTGTGTCTACATCATCGTCCTTCATTAGGCACGTGAATGCTTCATTCTTATCTTTAGCAGGTGACGCTAGGTCCAGTCCATTAGCCATCCAATATTTTATTTCTGAGTCCGAAAATATGATTCCGCCATCATCCTCTGTATCATGTCCAGTTGGATATGATCGTTGAGTATCCTCCCTGCATGGAGATCTGCGTGGCAATCTGTGTTGAGATGCGTACGTAGAACTATGTGTAGTTCTAAGAAGAGATCTGTATGGCGACCTGCGTGGAGGGGAGCGTCTACGTGTCCGGGGTTGCCTTCGCGAAGGCAGTATATTCCTATGTGGTGAATCCCGTGACGACCTGCAAGGTGATGGTGACATTCTTGATGATCTATCTGACGACCTTCGCGCAGGTGAGAGATTTTTGTTGAGGGTCTGAGTCCTGAGACGTCTCTCAGTATCTTCTTGGAGGTGTAAGCCTCTCTGTGATGTAGGTAGCCTGCGCGAATGCTCTTCATTAGCTTCATCATCAGATGACGACCTATTTTGGTTGGATGAATGTCCCTTCCTTCGCGCAGGTTTGCTGACGTCATGCAGTGTAGGTCTGCTCTTAGACCTAGAGCTAGATCCTCTGGTAGGCCTCTCAGATGTATCATCAGTGTGGGGTCCTTCGTGCAGCACTGGATCCTCTCTGAGGTTGATGACTTGGGCATGAGAGCCGCCTGGCTGTCCATCATGTGAGGTTCTTTCCTGCGCGAAGCGCTTCTCCATCATTTCTATCATTTGTTCAGAGAATTGCTGCATGAAGGCCCCGGGGTTGAATGTCTGCGACGACTGTAGTGATGTCGCATCTGAGAAGGTAGCGATATGGCCCAGGGATCACTGTGCCTCATTGATCTCTGCTGTCAGTGTAGAAGGTAACTCGGACTGCGTAGAGAGGGTTGCTGACGTTACCGTTGCTGAGGCCTGCGTCCTTTTCTTATGCAGCATCTCTGGGATGAGTATCAACGGCTCATCATATAAGCCTCTTTCTTCTATCGGGACGATTTCAGCAGAAAAAGTCCGCGTAGTCTGTGATGAACTCCCAGTAGAGCTGGTTGAAGCCTTAGGGGTGTAAGGCTTCTTCTGCGACGAAGATGGCCTCTTTTTCTTCATATGGGTTGTGGAGTTGTCCGACTTAGAAGACCTTTTCTTCGACGTAATGGCAGACCTCATCCCACGTCCATCTTCTGAGGACGCTTCCGGCAGGTCACTGGATGGAAGTATGTCGTCTGATAACGATAGACAGCTCTTTAGGGACTCAGCCGGTTTAGCCATGACTCACAAAAGTCGCCTGGATTTATCCTTAGCACGCCTAAGTACAGAGAATAATAATTATTAAATTCAATTTTTGTTAATTGCTGACATAATTTACAGCGAGAGCTGGAAGTACATGTTGTTGTGCAACTGGGGCACAACAAATGCGGGTCTTCAGCAGAGAACCTAAACCTACAACGAAAACAGGCTTTCATGAAATGTAAACAAACTGAACACTCACGTGAAACCATGAATAAACAGTCAAATTTGCTAATAAATTTCAAACCATATTGTAGAAGGATACTCCCTGAAACCTTATAAAGGTAACTTATAGGGTAATAACTAAGTTAGAAAAGGATATAGTGCCGTGTTGGAGACCCAGGTGCTCTCCCAACCGTCCACTAGGGCGAAGGAGAGAGTGAGGAGTGGGAAGACGGGTGGTGCCGTTTCCTGCCAAAACGAAGAGGGAGGCAGTAGTGATTTTACGTCTGCTTTTTTGAAGGGGGCTTCAAAAAGGAGATACAAGTGTTCCACTAACGTTCGCGGAAGGAAGGAGACAAGCAATAATACATGAGTCAGGATAAGGAAAAATAAATATTATCTGATGTTTCTTTCAGTAGCAACCACTAGACAGATACCAGTATCAAACCAAAGTGATGTGTGTATTGAGCAGGTGCCCTACTAGACAGATACCAGTATCAAACAAGAAGACAAAGTCATCAATATCCCTCGCAATGGCAAAATACTCTTCATGATTATGTGTACGAATTATGATTATGTCAAATATTTAGGTGCGTATATAGAAAAGTGCCCTACTTGAGAGATACTTGACAGATGTTTTAGCATGTTGAAGAGGGAATTGAGAACATACAAACCTCTGCATTATTTCTTGAATCTGGAATACAGAGACAAGCAACATTTATAACAAATATAGCCTTTTTGAAACATTCGTATTTATTGAACTCTAAGGTGTGGGGAAATCAAAAGATGCAAAAATTTATTTATTGATATTTGTTTGATTCTGGAATACAGAAACAAGCAGCATTTATAACAAATATAGCCTTTTTGAATCATTACTATTTGTTGGGAAACAAAAAGACACAAAAAAATGCAGATTGTGAAAAGAGAGGATTGACATGTGAAAAAGTGTGCTGGGAACCTAATCTCTTCACATCTCCCCTCACATCTCCCCTCTCACAGATCAAAGTTATCTGTTATAGGGACTAATTCAGGACAGCCATCGTCAGAATATTTAAAAAGTCCAAAACTATGTACTCAAGACATGTGAGACTTTATTGTAATATATATATATGACGCTAACCTGTAGTTTTAATCACTACTGTACATCCTTATCACTACCGCATTGTAAATTGAGTTGTCAGACCATTAATTATTGTATAAGACAGTTATAACCTTCATTGGTAATCCCCCTTGGCCGTGTCTGACATCACATCAACTGGTCAAGGAAGTGCTATTGTTTTTCTATCTGTCAATTGTTGAGTCATCGCCTGTCCATTGTTGTCAAAAACTGTATATATACTTAGTATGCTCACATCTAGAGAGTGGATGAGGACAGTGAAGGAGTACGAGTTAAGTAATTGCCCTGTCTGGTCATTGAAGGACACACCCCATTTGTATATTCTGTATTTGATAGGCTAATGTAGGTTACACCCATTTTTGTATCAGTCAACCAATCATAATCTCTTTATTGTTTTAATTGTAGATAAAAAGTCTCTAACTTCATTTGTCCATCAGTAGGGTTTAGACTCCCAACAAAGGTCAGCTCTAGCCCTCAGCCCAGAGGGTTGTACCGACTCTCTGTGGCCACCCCATGTTACTCCGTTCTTGTAAATAAAATTGTGATTAGCTTCTTGTGACTTCGGACTATTTTGCTGAGTTAATTCCCCCAAGCAGACCAGCACGCCAGTTAGATAAGGTGTTTCACCGGAACCATCACTTGGACCCAAGACCCTTATCATAATATATCCATTACACTCATGGGACGCAGGGCACCTAATCTCCTCACATCTCCACTCCAACAGATCAATGTTATCCATTACACTCAAGGGGTGCAGGGAACCTAATCTCCTCACATCTCCCCTCTCACAGATCAAAGTTATCCATTACACTCATGGGGCGCAGGGAACCTAATCTCCTCACATCTCCCCTCTCACAGATCAAAGTTATCCATTACACTCATGGGGCGCAGGGAACCTAATCTCCTCGCATCTCCCCTCTCACAGATCAAAGTTATCCATTACACTCATGGGGCGCAGGGAACCTAATCTCCTCACATCTCCCCTCTCACAGATCAAAGTTATCCATTACACTCATGGGGCGCAGGGAACCTAATCTCCTCACATCTCCCCTCTCACAGATCAAAGTTATCCATTACACTCATGGGGCTTAGGGAACCTAATCTCTCAAGCATCTCCCTCTCACAGATCAAAGTTATTCATTACACTCATGGGGCAGGGAACATAATCTCCTCACATCTCCCTCTCACAGATCAAAGTTATTCATTACACTCATGGGCTTAGGAACATAATCTCCTCACATCTCCCCTCTCACAGATCAAAGTTATCCATTACACTCATGGGGCGCAGGAACCTAATCTCCTCACATCTCCCCTCTCACAGATCAAAGTTATCCATTACACACATGGGGCACAGGGAACCTAATCTCCTCACATCTCCCCTCTCACAGATCAAAGTTATCCATTACACTCATGGGGCGCAGGGAACCTAATCTCCTCGCATCTCCCCTCTCACAGATCAAAGTTATCCATTACACTCATGGGGCGCAGGGAACCTAATCTCCTCTCATCTCTCCCTCTCACAGATCAAAGTTATTCATTACACTCATGGGGCGCAGGGAACATAATCTCCTCACATCTCCCCTCTCACAGATCAAAGTTATCCATTACACTCATGGGGCAGGAACCTAATCTCCTCACATCTCCCCTCTCACAGATCAAAGTTATCCATTACACACATGGGGCACAGGGAACCTAATCTCCTCACATCTCCCCTCCAACAGATCAAAGTTATCCATTACACTCATGGGGCTTAGGGAACCTAATCTCCCTCGCATCTCCCTCTCACAGATCAAAGTTATCCATTACACTCATGGGGCAGAGGAACCCTAATCTCCTCATCTCCCTCTCACAGATCAAAGTTATTCATTACACTCATGGGGGCAGGGAACATAATCTCCTCACATCTCCCTCTCACAGATCAAAGTTATCCATTACACTCATGGGGGGCAGGAACCTAATCTCCTCACATCTCCCTCTCACAGATCAAAGTTATCCATTACACACATGGGGCACAGGGAACCTAATCTCCTCACATCTCCCCTCTCACAGATCAAAGTTATCCATTACACTCATGGGGCGCAGGGAACCTAATCTCCTCACATCTCCCCTCTCACAGATCAAAGTTATTCATTACACTCATGGGGCGCAGGGAACATAATCTCCTCACATCTCCCCTCTCACAGATCAAAGTTATCCATTACACTCATGGGGGCTTGGGAACCTAATCTCCTCACATCTCCCCTCTCACAGATCAAAGTTATCCATTACACACATGGGGCACAGGGAACCTAATCTCCTCACATCTCCCCTCTCACAGATCAAAGTTATCCATTACACTCATGGGGCTCAGGGAACCTAATCTCCTCACATCTCCCCTCTCACAGATCAAAGTTATCCATTACACTCATGGGAGCAGGGAACCTAATCTCCTCGCATCTCCCTCTCACAGATCAAAGTTATCCATTACACTCATGGGGTGCGGGGAACCCAATCTCCTCACATCTCCCCTCCAACAGATCAAAGTTATCCATTACACTCATGGGGCGCAGGGAACCTAATCTCCTCACATCTCCCCTCTCACAGATCAAAGTTATCCATTACACTCATGGGCGCAGGGAACCTAATCTCCTCGCATCTCCCCTCTCACAGATCAAAGTTATCCATTACACTCATGGGGCGCGGGGAACCTAATCTCCTCGCATCTCCCCTCTCACAGATCAAAGTTATCCATTACACTCATGGGGCGCAGGGAACATAATCTCCTCACATCTCCCCTCTCACAGATCAAAGTCCCCCATTACCTTAATGGGACGCAGGGAACCTAATCTCCTCACATCTCCCCTCTCACATCTCCCCTCTCACGGATCAAAGTTATCCATTACACTCATGGAGCGCAGGGAACCTAATCTCCTCAAATCTCCGCTCTCACAGATCAATGTTATCCATTACACTCAAGGGGTGCCGGGAACTTAATCTCCTCACATATCCCCTCTCTAACAGATCAAAGTTATCCATTACACTCATGGGGCGCAGGGCACCTAATCTCCTCACATCTCCCCTCTCACAGATCAAAGTCCCCAATTACGCTAATGGGGTGCAGGGAACCTAATCTCCTCATATCTCCATTCCAAAAGATCAAAGTCCCCCATTACACTCATGGGGTGGAGGGAACCTAATATCTTCACATCTCCCCGCTCACAGATCAAAGTCCTCCATTACGCTCATGTTGTTGGGGCAGGGCTCATCTCCTCACATCTCTCCCTCTCACGGATCAAAGTCCTCCATTACACTCAACGGGCGCAGGGCACGTAATCACTCCTCACATCTCCATTCCAACAGATCAAAGTCCTCCATTACGCTCATGTTAAGCAGGGAACCTCATCTCCTCAAATCTCCCCTACAACAGATCAAAGTTATCCATTACACTCATGTGTGGAGGGAACCTAATCTCCTCACATCTCCCCGCTCACAGATCAAAGTCCTCCATTACGCTCATGTTGTGCAGGGCACCTAATCTCCTCACATCTCCCTCTCACAGATCAAAGTCCTCGATTACACTCAACGGGCTTAGGGAACCTAATCTCCTCACATCTCCATTCCAACAGATGAAAGTCCTCCATTACGCCATGGGGTGCAGGGAACTTAATCTCCTCACATCTCCCTCTCACAGATCAAAGTTATCCATTACACTCATGGGGAGCAGGGAACCTAATCTCCTCGCATCTCCCTCTCACAGATCAAAGTTATCCATTACACTCATGGGAGCAGGGAACCTAATCTCCTCGCATCTCCCCTCTCACAGATCAAAGTTATCCATTACACTCATGGGGTGCAGGGAACCTAATCTCCCTCGCATCTCCCCTCTCACAGATCAAAGTTATCCATTACACTCATGGGGCATAGGAACCTAATCTCCTCGCATCTCCCCTCTCACAGATCAAAGTTATCCATTACACTCATGGGGCAGGGAACCTAATCTCCTCGCATCATCTCCTCTCACAGATCAAAGTTATTCATTACACTCATGGGGCTTAGGGAACATAATCTCCTCACATCTCCCCTCTCACAGATCAAAGTTATCCATTACACTCATGGGGCTTAGGAACCTAATCTCCTCACATCTCCCTCTCACAGATCAAAGTTATCCATTACACACATGGGGCACAGGGAACCTAATCTCCTCACATCTCCCTCTCACAGATCAAAGTTATCCATTACACTCATGGGGTAGCAGGGAACCTAATCTCCTCAGATCTCCCCTCTCACAGATCAAAGTTATCCATTACACTCATGGGGCTTAGGGAACCTAATCTCCTGAGCATCTCCCTCTCACAGATCAAAGTTATTCATTACACTCATGGGGGTAGCAGGGAACATAATCTCCTCACATCTCCCCCTCTCACAGATCAAAGTTATCCATTACACTCATGGGGCAGGAACCTAATCTCCTCACATCTCCCCTCTCACAGATCAAAGTTATCCATTACACACATGGGGCACAGGGAACCTAATCTCCTCACATCTCCCCTCCAACAGATCAAAGTTATCCATTACACTCATGGAGGCAGGGAACCCTA